TATACTATACACACACACACACACACACACACACACACACACACACACACACACACACACACACACACACACACACACACACACACACACACACATATATATATATATATATATATATATATATATATAGGAGGACCTAGTGCCGAAAAGGATCCAGAAAACTTTATTCATCAGTTATATTTTCAAACGCAGAATGCGACTTTAAAAGCCGAACTCATAAAAACTAAGATCTGCGCTCCGGAGATGAGCGAAGAGCTCAAGATGTTGAACAGAAACAACACCGCAATGGAGTCGGCCCTTTTGAGTGCACATAGGTGTTCCGAAGAAGTGTGGGAGAAGCAACTCAATGCCAGCAAGCATCAGGTATGAGTATAACTACTGCATAGAAGGAGGACGGGTTTAATACACTTCTTTACCAATTTCGCGACACGTGCAGATATTTTACGACACGTGCAGAAACTTTGTATTTGGCGATTAGTTGTGCTCTTTGTAATGTTTTGTGCCTTTCCAATGCGGCAGCTCAAATAGGAGTTTCTGATTGGGTTGCACGTGTAATGTTTGATGTGGTGTGACTTAAAGGGCATATGTGTGAGTACCTGTTTATGTGCAAGCTCAGTTTTGTATGAAAGTACCGGGCTTGCGTATGTAAAAAAATTGTGCGTGTCTGTATACACACCTACACACCTTCGTATATCAGGCGGAGCAAGTTGATTTGTGTTTGTGTCTCACACAAAATATACAACTCTGTGTGGTTTTGCTTAGGAGAAACCTTACTGATGCATATCGAAGTTATGCAAAGCGTTATGGGTCGCATGCTTATTTGTGAGTCTCTCCGTTGGTAAGTGATATTTCAGATCATCGTCTGCTTTGATTAGTCTACGAGCGTATGGATGATAATTTCATAGCGTGCATACAGTAGTTTATCTGTTTGTAGGTACAAATGATTTTTGATGTTCGAGGTTGATACGTATTACAGAAGGGTAAAAGCAGACATCGACCTGCCTGTTGTGAGAGAAGATTTGCGAATATTTCATGTACATGGATAGCTCGCAAGGCTTAGTTTTCCTCGTTGAAATAACAGCATCACTGGCTTTGGGCGAGTGTATATCTGTTTAGCCTCTTTTTTCTCGATATTGCTAGATCATAATATAAACAGTGATACGTTTGACTACCTTTTGTCCATCGGCGCACCTATCAGACGAGCACTAAGAGTCGACTGCGTGTTCATGTTTTAATCTATCTGGCGAAGTGAAATCAGTAAAAACTACATAAACAACCACAGCTTAATTCGCTCTCATTTTGCGCTTGTCGATCCTTCAATACCGCGATGTATTATGTAGATACTCAAGAATGAAGACAAACTCGAGGCCGTGTCGGGTATACTGGAACGACTACAAGCTGTGTTGACTGAGCCACAAAGCCGACGCACAAGCAATGCCAATGGCAACGAATGAAATGGAAAAATAAAACAAGAGTGTAGCAAGATTAAACATAATTCAATAGATTTCTTGAATGAGATCTCTGCGGGTTAAGGTGGGAGTTGTTTGGGTCAGTTTAACTGGGGCGGCACGCATTATAGTAACGTGATGTAATTTTTCAGGCCTGTGAATGCGTGCTAACGATGCAGGGATACACAATACACTAGCCTCGCAGGCTGTAGATTGTGATGATGCGGCCATCGGTGGGATGTAAAAGACTTACGACTGCTAAACTTCATTCGCCGAAGGGAACGAAATTTAGAGGTACCTCTAATAGAATATATATAGTCATGACCATGCAGCCTATAAGACTATCATACAGACAGCTTGATGCTGTACTGGCCATAGCGTTTCGAGTTCGTTGCTGTATTAAAGTTCTTTACTTAAGCTAAACTTGCAGTTTAACACCAGTCAGATTGCTCGAGTAATCACCTATCTCGTTACTCCAGGAGCACTTTTCACACACGCCGAATGGACACGGCCATATATACACTCTCACAGGTCAATCAAATAATCGTGCATTGTGTCCACCTTTCGATCCGAAGCCCATTCTACAACATTTTTTATTCGAACGTTTGAGGTTTATCCAGAAATATATGTACACTCGCATACTCGCGTACTACACGGGTCTTATGCATAGGTTGAGTTAACTAGTCCTAGATATGGATGTTTGCTATGCATTCCATACGAATTGTTCATTAGACGGTATAGGTCGATTGCTGAGTCGGAGATACTCACTACTCGTACGCAGGTGGTGGGGCCGACGAGGTTAAAGGTTCCAAACTTCCAAAGTTTCCCTCACACTGTCGTTCCTGATAAAGCGTTGTAAAGTTGACAATTGACATATTCATTTTGTAGCTGGTAGCTGTGACAGAGAAGGAAGATAAAGCTTCTACAAAAATCTTACCTGGATGTACTATTTTTTCTTTTTGAAAGTGCACACAAGGTCAATATGGGATACCTAATTAGAACTGCAGGTTTACATGCATGAGGGATACATCATATGGATGTTGCGAGCTAAGGATGATAAGCTTGTGAAAGTGAACGCACATCTTTTGCGACAACCATAAACAATCACTTCGCGTGAATTTTGTGGCTTACATTTGGCATAGTAGCCGCGTATAAAGTATTATCATTACACCGTGTCTTATTGACGTTGACACTGATGCACAGTTTGACGAGGTTGACGTTCGACAGCAGAATACCGAATACTCATGTCCATTCAAATTCGTGCTACTATACAGAAGTACACACACACATAATTTTAATACGTTTAAGCATGTGCTTACGTGTATATATATATACATATATATATGTATATATAT